AGCCAATCGTAACTGAGAGTTGCAGGAAAATGACAGGCTATTTTACAAGAGGGGAGATAGGCTTGACTAAATAGTGAACTTATGCTCTTGTGCAAGATCCCCCCCCCCCCCGATAATAATTTAAAAAATGTGAAGACACTGCTGCAATTGTAATTAATTCCATGATTTGGTGTGTGTGTGTGTGTGAAAGAGCGTGTCCCTCTGGGTCAGGGGGAAAAGCAGACTGTTTGAAGAGAGGGAGCTGACGCAGGTACCCAGGAACGAAAGCTGCCGCAGAGGCTCCTAGAGAGGACCGAGAGGGGAAACAAACCAGGGCTAGCTGCAGAGTGCCCGATTGCCTGTCAGGTCGCCAAGCAAACAGCCCACCCACGGTGGCTTCTTCTCAGAGCGGCTCAGCCGCTCTAAGGGCACGGACTCAGCCTCCATGCTGGCTGGAGTCCAGTGGCTCTTCCATACCTGCTTGGAGGAGGATAGAGCCCAGGCTGGCCATGTGTCCACTCTGAGAAGGGACAGTCCTCTATTTGAAAGGTTGCCAATGGAGTCTCCTCTGTGCCATTTGTTTGAGATCCTTCCAGGCAAATCCATTATTGTGCAGAACCATCTGAAGGCGGAGTTGGGCTCCGAAGTTGCCCTTCAGTATCCCGAAGGGAAGACTGAGGAAGGCACACATTTTGTTGAGCATGGGCTTATTTAAATTGTCCTTTCCAAATTGACACGCATACTTACAACTTAGCATGTGTCCTCTTTTGCCCAGCCTTTCAGGGATGCACCTCCTTTTTCGTGATGCATCCTAAGTGGCCACCCAGCCTCAAATGGACCACTCGTCCCACCCGTTTCTGCTCACGAGAACACAGAAGACCTTGCAAGACCTTGCAAGAAGTCCTCGATGCCTCAGTGGAGAAACCAGAGGTCCCTCTGGCTGGACCTTCCCGAGGGAAAGCAGTTCTCAAATACTATTGACTGCACAGAACCAACAAATGTTCTTTTCTGTGGGTTCAGAGATTTTGCACATTTACCTCATACGCAAGACTATTAACAATAGCCTTGTCAGGTGTGGACATAAATGCTCCCCTTCACCTTCCTGCTTTCCTCTCTCCCACCATTAATCTTAAGTCCAGAATAGTGATGTGCGAAGAACCAGGTTTGGGGATTTCCATAGCTCGACTCCCTGGACTCCAGCCTGCTTCCTTCCCGCCCGAGGTCTGCCTCGCATGCAGAGTTTGTGTAGACAAGTCCACGCCTCCACACGTGACTTGCAGGCTTTGCACGAAGAATTATATATTAGCGCAAAGACTTACTTTGCACAAAGAACCTGCTAATGTTCCTGAGCATTTGCAGACTTATCTCAGTCTGGTTCACTTCCTGACCAGAGTCCAGCCTGATCTTCACATCCCCAGTCTGTATGTTTTTAAAATGTGTTTGTTCCTTCTAAGCACATACCTTCCAAACACCTAATCATTTACTAAAATGAAGGTAAGCATGACCATTCTGGAGATCTGACTAGAAGCCTGGTACTCTCTGTGCACTTGTGGAAATGCTTTTCACTTCTGTGCTTCATTTCCCTCATCTATTAAGGTGAGGTAGCAATGCCTTAAGGTTCCTGCCATTGCTAGGTGCCAGTAAGATCTCCCAGGATCTTAAGTCCAAAGGCTGTTTACCATGAAGCTGGGGAGCTACTAGCAGAAGCATAAAACAAACATCCATCTTGTCTCCATAGCCCAGCTGCTGTTGCTGATAAATGCTGTTCCAGTTTAGCTTAAGAAAGGGAAGAACTTGGCATTTGACCTGCTATCTTTCAGTCTCCTCCACCCACCCGCCTTTCTCTTTCGGCCTTTGATGTTGCATTAATTGTGCAAATTTGCTGGGCAGGGAAGGGAAAGGAAGCAACAAAGACTCATCATCAGCCGTCTAGCCATTGTGCCATAGGAAAGATGTGATGTGATAATTAAATAGTTCAAGTTCTGCCAGTAGGCAGAAAAACAAACTAAACTGAAAGATTCAGACAAATGTTTGTATGGCATTTGACCTCTTTTAGGCACTGCTCCTATGAGTGACAATGTCAAAGCTGGAAGCAGAGCTCAATCAGTCCTCCACAGTCAGTCTTTGATCAAATACCCTCTTTCACAACTAAACTAGATTTTTAGTCAGTACTCCAGCCTGTCCCAAAGATCTCACTAGATGCACCCGGGGCCGATTTTACCTGTGTTTTGTTGTCCACCCAATTCCTACATCAGCCAGAAATGCTACTGGGGGTGGGGGGGGGGGCATTTTAGGCCAAAACAAACAGAAAAAACCTTGAAAGGTACAGTAATCAACATTTAAAATTATTTGTTGCATAATAATAATTTTAAAAACTGACAGTTGCTGCTATACCTTGAACCAGAACACTAGAAAAAATCTGCAGGTCCTTTTTACTGAGCATTTGGGCAAAATACTGCCAGCTCATAGGGACTAGAGCCTTATTTCTCTTTAAGGACAGATTTGAGCAGAATGATGGTTCTAAGATTAATTCCCACGGTTGTATCCCTCTGGCACCTAAACATGCACTCCCTTTATAACCCTTTTGCTTGCATCTTGAGGAACTATACCCATTTCTTCACACTGCAGTTGGATACTTATAGTGCAGGGAGTTTCCACCTGTTCACCAATGAAGCCCACATGACTCTCACTAACCTCCCTGTCCTGACAGCAGCAGGTAGATTTGCTTGGCTAGCCCAAGCTCACCCAATGAACTGTCCCAGGTCCTCCCCAGCATCTTCACCACCCCATCACACCAGCCCTCTTGAACTTCTAAGCCTAACTTAAACCGAATCTGTTTGTTGGTCTGTGTATGCACCAGCTCACCAAAGTCTCAAAACCTTTTCCAGAAATCCTAGCCAGAATCACTGCAGTTGCAGAAGGACTGACCCTGGAACTAAAGGTGCAGCCTGGCCCCCCACGGGTGAACAAACAGAGCATGGAAGATGCCAGATGATCTCTTTCCCTGCCACTTCCCTCACTTTGCACCTGGCCCCCGGAACCTTCACCAGGAAACGGAGTGGCCAAGAAGGGAGACGCAGACACTGCAGCTTGTGCCACATTACATGCAATGTGTTTGGACTTCTGGGATGCTGCAGATCCCAGTGAATAAAACAGAGGGTCTTGGATTATAGTCTGACCGTGGCACCTCAGCATGCCGAAGGCCTTTGTCCCTTGGCCATCCTCATGCAAGGAGCTGGACTGCATTTCAAAGTCCCTGTTATTGCTTCTCGCTTGTTATGCTACACTTACAGTGTTGCCTGAGTGACCAATTTCTGCTGCGCAGACACCTGCAATTCTGAAAGCCATTTTTTCCAACAGCCATTCATCCTGCAAAAACAAGCTGTGCAGTATCGTCTCAAGCATACATTTTTAAAAAAGTAATGGAACACACTCCCTTTAGAAAAACATTCATGCTGGATGATAACACACAAGAGGGAGGGAAAAAATACCAACTTTGTCTCTTTTTTAATTTGGCATTTTGTTATTTGCATTTATATTAAAGCAAAGTGCATCTTTTCTTATTTTTCTTGTTTATACACATTGCACAATACATAAATAATGATGCTTATAAAACGTCTTTATATTTACAAGTAATAATATATTTATATATAACATAAAATACATTTTTCTTTAATAAATCTCAGAGTTTTTTTAAGGAGTCTCTTTTTGTTGTTTATTTTCCAAAGCACTTCAATGCTAAAATTCCAATGAGAATGCTTCTCTTGTTCACTTAAACCTTTTATAGTTAGAAAAATAGCTTATGTTAAGGTCTAAACATGCTCATTGAGCTAAGAACAGTGTAAAATTATCATACTAAGTGTATGAATTCAAGAAGATATAAATGAATGACTGCAATTTCTGGATGCATAAATCTGATCAGGGCAGGGGGTAAATACTGAAAATCCATTTCATCCTTTAAAAAGAAAAGAAAAAAGGTATCAAGAAGTCTGCATCGCAGATCAAATTCGCGAGCACAGCCCATGGCATTTCATGGCATCACAAATAATCACTAAGTGAAACATGGGCATGCTTGTTTTTCCTCCACGATGACACAAGACGTGAAGAGGTAAAGGAGCAGGTGGCCGCATGGGAGAGCGCAGGAAGAGGACAAGAGAAGAAAGGGCAACGCAGGGGTGGCGAAAGATTTATTCTGCTGCATTTGCTCTCCAAACTGACTCTGTATCTATGCAAGCTGTACGTTCATTGGGTGCCAGCGACCATGAGGGGTTTCCATCACCCCGGTGGGTCCGCTTCCTTCAGAACAGCAAAGGAGTTGGTGGAATGATAGCAGATGCGTGGAATGATCTGCCATTGAACAGACCACTGCGCGACAGACTGGTTGGTATACGAGAGCTACAGTGATCAGGAGGAAGGCACCTCGCAGCAGTCAAATAGCAATGATTTAGCACCGGATTCAAGGGAACTTGGTACTAGATTGTTTGATGTTTACGGAAGTCCTACAGGCTCGGTAGCTCCAGTGTGCGATTGGAGTCCCCTTGCCTGTGATGGCCTCTCCATTCATTTCAATGGCAAAGAGGGGTCTCCATGCACTGCACCTTTGTGTGCACAGATCTGATCCCTCCCCTGAAATGACTGAAGCAGTCCAAGTGCACAAGAACACGTGTAGCCGCTGAAGCAAAGACAGATCTTTGGACTGGTGTGTGCACATCTACAAAGCGTGTGGGGGACGAAGTCATCTGATCATCTGACTTCCAAGTGAGGGAGTTAGGCAAAAAACCAAGTTGCATCGAATGCCAACCACCAGGTTTGGATAATAACTGAAAAGGTTCAAAATGATTCACTAATAAAGAACGTTCAAGTGAAGTCTCCTCCACCACCACCCTACCCCTTCCCAGTTGCCTTCCTTTCCCTTCTGAGTTATTGGTCATTCACACTTAAAAATGAAGTTTCAAAATAGTGAAGCAAAAAAAGAGAGAGAGAAGAGAGAGAGAGAGAGAGGGAGGGAGGGAGAGGAAGGAGGGAGGGAGGGAGGGAGGGAGGGAAGGAAGGAATCTTTCCATAAGCTATTTCTCAAAACAAAACAAACAAACAAACAAAAGTTTGCATGAAAAAGCAAGCACTCAGAAGGAGATATTTAGCAGCAAAGTAGTTATAAAATGTCACTGTTGAGTCCAGTCCGAGTCTCAAGTCATCGGTTATTAAAAATGACCTCCAACCAGCATGGGCAGCTGCTGATGAACTGCCTCGTATAGCACTGGCCCCAGCCCTTGACGAAGCTGATCTGAACAGTGAAGCCAGTCCAGGGCTGCTGCATGAACTCGTGGTCGTTGGGCCTCTGCAAGCTGTACGCTTTCTCGTAGTCAAATGCTTTGATGGAGAAGCCTGGGAACACTTTGTGAACTAGTAACGTCCTGGAGTCGGGGTTGTCCAGTGTGGCCGACTTGATGAAAATCGGGTAGCTGCTGCGGTTGTACACCCACACCCCATCGACTTCCTTGGTGAGCTGGATGCCGTAGCCGATTTTGCTGCGGACTTTCTGCACCAGCTGGCTTTTATTGTCCGAATTGAGCTGTCCGAGGCAGAAGCCATTCCCCTGAGGTAGATCATAGAAGATATCCAGGGAGGGCTCTTGGACAGAATACAGCCGACCCACACGTGTTTTCTCTTCCCAGTATGCCACCACGCACCAGTGTGATGAATCCTCCGGTTCTTGCAGAACCTGGGAATCTAGAAAAAGAGAAGAGGGAAGGGGAAGATCAGTTTCATTTCACAATAAAAACATTGTCTGGAACACCTGCCTTCCTGAAAGCTAATGAATACATGAAGTTGCTTTATCAGACCACTGATCATTAGTGTGAATCTGATAGCAATGAAACATTTGATTATTATGGAATTGCCTGATCTAAATGTGAAGAACTTTCTGTCTGGCACGAAATTGTTAAGAAACCCCTTCCAAACAAACAAACAGCCTTTTGTTATTTGCAAAAACATATACTAAAAGCCTCTAAATTTTAACTACATCCTCCGTGCAAGGAGGAGGATTAGGTTACATGTGAGAAGTCCCTCGGTTATAGAAGTGCTAATTTAAAAATGCACATGTGCATGCATGCACAGATAAAACTTATATTATGGGGGGAGATGATTCACAGAACCTCAGGAATGTGGCAACAGTGCAAAGTCGATACCAGACTATTTTTTGAGCCACTGTGTTTCTGCCATGTTTTTCTTGTGGCTCATTTGGATATATCCAATGCACAAGCTAATGGAAAAACTGGAATGGGTATAAAGGAGACTTTTTCACTTCATGATTCACAAGATGTTTTGAACTCAAAAGTTATATTGTAGGGCCACACTACAACGTGTAAGAATGCTTCTGAAGAATGCTTCTGAGTGCTCAACATATGTGAGAAATCCTGGTTTGAAAAATCCCTTGTACAAACTCATGTAAATCTTTTGTCATCTTGTTCGGGAAACACTGCTCCGCCAAGCAGATGGTGTCTTGCTATTGAAGGTGCTGATGGTGTGTTTCTATTGTTGTTGTTGTTGTTATTCATTACATTTCTATATAATAAAGCTCCCTGGGCATTTCACAACATTAAGTCACCCATTCTGATTTCAACCAGGCCCGACGCTGCTTAGCTTTCAAGGCAAGATCAGACATTTCTGGCCATGCCAAAGCTATATACAGAATAAGTGTTGGGGTATTCACAAAGCTTGTCCAAAATCTGGTAACTCAATGGCATCTCCATGTTCAGAAGAAGCACCAGGTGCTGGATGGGGCATATTATGCTGTTCGAAACAGCATCATAGACTTCAGATAGTTCCAGTAGGACTCTCTTTGCTTCAACTCATGGAAGGTTTATGAAATTGCTACCATATCATAATGGTTGGTGTGAATAAGGGCTTCATGGTGAGCTCAGTCTCTGGGTAATCCAGGTGTAATATTGAACTACAAACTCAAAAGAGCAAACTATTTAAGACTGATCTTTGCTGCAGCTCTACCACTCTGGCCTTCCTCTGATTTCCAACTGTTTATATGAATCATGAACAAGCCATGTTGCGGTCAAGAAAATGGGCGAAGACACAACAGTACTATACATTGTGCAGCCCTGCACTTCCCATAATTGATTTCCTCCCCAGCTCCCTTCCTATAGCCATTCAGTTTAAGCCAACGGGTAAATTAATGGCAGATTAACAAAATACCAAAGACCAGCTTATCAGCTGCAGACATCTTTTGTGATGTCAAATGTGGGTAAGCAGGGATGACAACTAGGTACTGCATAGCCTAACCCACTGCGTACATCATCCTGTTCTTAAAGGCCAATCCCTAGCTTTTCATATAATAAATTCTCCCTTGGGGAGTGGGGAGACAGAGAGAGAAAAAGAGTCATAAAAGGAGAGTTAACTGAAGCTCTGTCCAGACTAGAGGGGTAGGGTATGATCATCAGCTATAATTTACAGGACTTATTTATGCCTATAGACAGATCTCTGGTCATAAATGCTAAAGAATACAGACGTCAGATGAGCTATAAATCTGATTGAATTGCAGTTAGACTGTGGTTTGTGGTAGCAGGGTGGAGACCGGAAGTCTTGCATTTGTTACCAAAAAATGTGGGGGGAAGAACGAGGGGGAATGCTTCCCTCTCTTTCCCCTCCGAACTCTCCCTTCCCAACACTGCCTCTATTGCTAAACAGGGTAATTATCACAATTAGTGCAGGAGAGAAGCAGGGAGAGGAGAGGACAGGGGAGCACTGACTCAAACTCCCTCACAGTCAACTTGCACAGCACAGTGCATCGGCTCCATGCCGATTAGCCAGTAATTCTGCAAAGCTTTTTACAGACATGCTAAGACCTGGGAACTCTTAAAGCTTTGCAAATGCGCTTTTTAATAAAGGAGCAAAAGGAGGGGAAGGTGCGGGGAGAAACCCGAGAGCTCGCATTGAGTCTGTTCCTATCCCCACCCCAGCCTCCCTGGTTGCCACGCCATCCATCTGTTAAATAGCAGCCCTGAGTACATGCATGCAAACACCAGGATGCACGCATATCATTCAACCGTCCTCTAACACTTCTCAGTAGGTTTCTGCTCCACGCTTATCCAGTTCTAAACATACTGAATTTCTGCAGAGCTCCTGTGTTTACATTTTCCTCAGTCCATTTCAAAGGAAATTAGAGACAACTCCGTAAAATGCTTACATTGCATAGAAAGGTAAAACGGACACTGCACTGAGTATCTTCAAACTCACGAGCAAGCACACGGTTGAGCTGCCCATGAACGCGGGAGGACGTTTTCCTACGACAAACTCCGCCACACGGGAGCCAACCCAAGGCTCAGTCCTGAGGTGGAAAATATGCCGTTGAGGTAATTAATATATGAGCTGGGCCTAAAGTACACCGCTTCGCAGCCACATTTTCTACACCCATTTACAGCTCCTTAAACCCAACCCTTCCAACACCTCTGTGCTTTGACTGTATCCTTATGCCAGCTAGGAAAATATTTCCTTAGTAGCTCGAGGCAGCTTCTAAAAATGGGCCAGTGTTTGGGAATTGGAAAGATACAGTTTCTGATAAAGTTCAAGGAAAAGAAAAGCCGGGAATGGGGGCGAACGCCACTCCCCTCTCCCTCATGCAGCCGAGCCCTGGCGGAGACGCCATCCCGCGCTGAGGCAGGCCGGCCGGCCTTGATTTTGTCTTTCACCTCTTCCCAGCACGGCCCCCTTCACAGTACTTTGTTTCATATAACTATCCCACTGCAACCTGGCACGGAATAAGGGGCTGGGGGAGAGGAGCCGAGGAGGGGAGGGGGAGAAAGAGGCAAACGCTGGTATCAAATTACTTTTCACCTAACTCTCCAAAACTACTTCAGCGCAGTCATCGGGGAGCCGTGCAAGATACAAAGGGAATATTTTTTTAAAACGTGCAAGTATTTCCCAGGTTTCAAAGCAAAGGGATGGGGAAAGGGTTCTACTGTCAGGAAAGAAAAACAAACTGCAAAATAAAGGGAGGGAGAGGGAGGGAGGGTGGCCAGGAAAAATTATATCTATATCTGTATAGAAGGACCTTTCTGAAGTCCCCCCCTCCGCATTTTGTGAAAGAAAATCCCTCAGACTGCATTCTTTTCCTTTCATCTCCTCGACCCGACAGTCCACCCAGCAATTTCCAGGCAGACGTCAGTTAAAGAGAAGTTTTCAGATTACGTTAATTGCTGAGCCTAGATAAATTGTAGACTCTTCTCTCTCTGGTGTGTGTGCATGCCAGAAAGAGAGACTTCTCCATTAAATAACCCTTGCAAGTCAAGAATTCACCACACATGCTGGCCTATGGTGACCTCCTTGGATGCTGTATTTTCCTACATGGGTGGCACAAGCAGGGAAGATGGAGTGGGGGCTCTGGGTGCAGGGCAGAATTTACCCAGTAGCAAATTGCCCAAGTGAGCATGCAGCTCATCTGTGTTCCCTCATTTTGAAGCGGGGTTCTGACTGCTCAGCTTCACCTGCAATGAGAGAATCCCCATCTATGCCATTCAAAATTCCTGGAATAAAGGGTGGCACTCGGGTCTAATGAACCAGGATTTGATGGCTGGCCAGTTTTCATCTCATAGAATCATAGCAGAGTTGGAAGGGGCCTGAAGGCTAATGGGTCCAACCTGCTGCTGCTGCAGGATACCAAGTCACACCACCCCACTCAGTCCGGTCTGTTTCAACCAACCATTTTTTAAAGCTTATTTTATATCCACAGAGGAGCTTTCTTCTTCCAGCCACATTTATTTTTTTATTTAAAGCATTTCTATTCCAGCCAACCTCAAGACAGCTTACAACCAAAGCGTCACAGCAGGTATAAATCTAGATGTGGTTCAGTGCTAGTCAAGGAAACTCAAGAAAAGCTTCAAAGATCTCTGAAACAAGAGTTGGGCCTAGGACTGTACCCAGAAAGAGGGCTCTCAGTGCTACCAAACAAAAGACTGCTGCTATTCCGGCTTCTCCTCCTTTGCCAATTTTATGCAGTCAGAGAAGGTAGAAGAAGCAGTGCCAAGACAGGAGACATTTACAAATGGAGGACAGCTCCATCTCGACCACCCATAAAACTCTATGGATCAGACAAGATGACTGCCTAGCGGTAGCACTCTATGGAATGTACTTAGCGCCTCAACATTCCAATTAAATCAGCACAAATGGTGAAAAAGAATCCTCATCAGAGAGGTTGCTCATGCTAATCCACAAAAATATCACATGTGGTATGCCACTGCTTATCTGAATTGTGCTGTTTTCTCAAATTGGTCTTCCCCTCTAGACTCCACAATGAACCAAAGGAATTTTAGCAACATTTGTTTACTCTGGGCTGAAATGGACACACATCAGCATTCCATGTGCAACCAAACAGCGCTATAAGTCTACCGCTTACATTGGGTGTGACTACTAAATGCACCTTTACTGCTATAAAGTTCCCACTTTCTGTAAGTAAAATGGGACCTCCTTAAGGAGCCACGTGAAGTTCCAGCTGTCCCAGGAGAACCACCAGCACAGATGGTGTCATTATTCAGAGTGCCATGGCTATGCAATTCATTCAGAATCAAAGGCCAAATTAGTAATATATCATGAGATGGAGAATAACAGCTCATTTGCATTTTCAGCTGCATGCAATTAACATAATTTGCTTATCATTTTCATAAATGGGCCAGGTGACAAAATGGGTTTTGTTGTTCTTGTTGCATTCATTCTGTCTTTGTTCT